CAGCAGGCCGCTCGGCCAGTGGCTTCCCGGCCAACGGACAGCCCTGCCCGACGCGGGGACCGGGCGAGGGCATCTCGGCCCACCCCCCGGGGCGGGCCGAGAGGAGAAAGGGGTGCTCACCCCAGGCAGGCCTTACCTACGCGGTGCCTCTCGGTAGAGAAGTGCGAGACTGACGGTTGATGCCAGGAAAATAAAAATACGGGGGGAGGGGGCGTGGAGGCAGCGCTAGGGTTCGCGGACGCGCACCTCCGTGGGCGCGCAGGTGTGTTCAATGACCCGGAGCCGGCCGGCCCGAGGACTGGCCCGGAAGGACCGCTGCGGGAGAAGCTCCGCCACCTGTCTGGTCGGCCGCGGGGGAGGGAGGGGGGAACGCAATCAAAATGCACCTCTCTCCCCCGCCCCTTTCAATTCACATAAGGTAGTTTATCAGAGTAGGTCCTACCTACTGTGCCCAGGCTTCAGTCTTCTCTCTTTTTTCTTCCCGTCCGGAAATGTTCACAAAATGCACTACCTTTCAATGAAATTACCCTCTTTTTCGTCGTCTACCAGTACCGTCCAATAAAAATATAGCGCGAGCACAAACGCAAGCTACTTATGTAATTACAAATTTTCTAGAAGCCACATTAACGAGTAAAAAACAAAAAAAAAAACAAAAAAAAAAAAAACAGGTGGAATTATTTTAATCTATTTTACTTTACCGAATATATCCAAAATGGTATTTCAACATGTAACTAATACAAAAAATGTTAATGAGATGTTTTCCCCTTTCTCGTACTAATTAAAACACAATGTGTATTTATTTTATACTTGCAGCACGTCTCCGTTGGGATTGGCACATTTCAGGTGTTCAGTAGGTACATGTGGCTAGTGGCTACCGCATTGCACAGCAAAGTTCTAGACATTACTTATGTGTAAATTATTGTTTTTGTCAGGTCTGGTGCTGTGACAGCCAAATGAAGAATGAATGTAAGTAATGAAAAGGAGAAAAAATTCATTTCTTTACTGTTATACTGAAATATCCTCACAGACTCTGATTGTAGCCCTTTATATTAAGTCAGGTTTAATGTTTTTCAATCTTGTCATCTTGAGAATCATTTCAATTAGGAACAAAACTCATGTTAACCCTTTTCTCTTCTTACTAATAAAAACAATATTAACAGCTTCACCTAAACGAGTGAGAAGAATGGCTTTAATTACGGCAATCCTAAATAAATGATTCATGCTGTTGATTGTTGGCAAAAATTGAAGGGAAGGAAGCCAACAAAAAGTAAGGTTCTTTGGTGTGGTGAAAAATGTAGGATTCAAAGTGGACCAGAGCTTGGCTTAGATCCTGGCCTTGACCCTTAAAGCCTGTGTGATCCTAGGTAAGCCAGGGATTTAGCTTCTCTGAGCCTCATTTGCCTCATCTTTAAAATAATAAGTATGTTGTAGCACTGAGTATTTATTACAAAGACAAGACAACAGTGTAAAAATTCGATGGGGACATTGAAGTCCATTCTTTTATGTAGCGGTCAGTCACTTCTTACTTTTCTGTTCTTCAGGAAGGACTCACAAACTGTATATTCCAAAACAGTGAGAGTGAGTTATCCTAATGTTCCATTAGGTAGATACCCTCGACCTGTGCCAGGCTTTTGTTCGCATTCATTACCCTTTTGTTCCCCTAGGAACTTTGATGATGGCTAGCACTTTCTTTACACCTGAGACATTCTTATCTGAGACTAAGGCTACTATGCATCCATGGAGACATCAGGGTATCTTTAATTGAGATGTTATCCTGCGCCTTCTCCCTATTTACTGGTACGTAACTTTACCCCTATTCTTATGAGATGTGAAAGGTAGACTTAGAGATAACAGGGATGGATTTAGCTTCATCACAATAACAATAGTTAATATTTAGTATGTGCCAGCCATTGTTTCAAGAGCTTTACTTTTATCATTTTATTTAATCCTCACATCCTATGAGATAGCCATTCCAATTACCCACATTTCACAGAAAAGGTGCCAAGATACTACAAGGACTATATCCATCTGGGGACTGTTATAGGACTAAGTGGCAGGTGGTAGGTAATGCAAAATGCCAAGAGGCCAGGGGCACCTGGCTGGCTCAGTTGGTAAAGCTTGCAACTCTTTTTTTTGTTTGTTTGTTTTTTCCTATCTTAGAACCTTTTCTTTAAATTTCATTTTAATTTTTTTAAATTTACATACAAATTAGTTAGCATATAGTGCAACAATGATTTCAGGAGTAGATTCCTTAGTGCTCCTTATCCATTTAGCCCATCCCCCCTTCCCACAACTCCTCCAGTAACCCTCAGTTTGTTCTCCGTATTTTTGAGTCTCTTCTGTTTTGTCCCCCTCCCTGTTTTTATATTATTTTTGTTTCCCTTCCCTTATGCTCATCTGTTTTGTCTCTTAAAGTCCTCATATGAGTGAAGTCATATTGATTTTTGTCTTTCTCTGACTAATTTCACTTATAAAGCTTGCAACTTTTGATCTTGGGGTTGCAAGTTTGAGCCCTACATTGGGAGGAGAGACTACTTTTTTAAAAAATGCCAAGAGGCCACACACACACAAACATGAGCACCAGGTAGGACTCTCTGGAGAGAATCATCAGAAATGCTCCTTCTCCACACTTACGCCTTTCTTATTGATTTATGAAGGTAGGGCTAAATTTGGAGAGGCTGGAAAATATGTTGTAAATCTGGGAAAAGGACCTGCTGTAAAATATGGAAAGAATTTGTTTCCTTAAGCTGGGTTTGAAAGAACTTTTCCGGAAGACTTCCCCAAGCTGTCTAATCTTAGATGCTTCCCTTATGATAGTTGTATCTTGGAAAAACTTTATCTTGGCACTTAGTATGCTGGATTTTTACTGTTTAGTCTATTTAACTGTCCTCTTCACTAAACTACTTCTGAAGTCAGAGGACACTTTTTTTTTTTTTTAAGTAAACTACGCACCCAACATGGGGCTTGAGCTCACAACCCCAAGATCAAGAGTTGTACGTTCTACCCACCTAGCCATCCAGGCACCCCAACCAGAGGCCACCTTTCATCTCTACACCCTTAGATCTTAGCCCAGTACTTGGTACATAAAGGCTTTTAACAGTGATGGGAATCACCTGCAATACAGCTTTTCCTTTCCTGTGTCACCAGTATAGTGATGATGAAAAGACTGGTTTTCTTTCCTAGTTCTTGAGAGATTTAAGTTAAAAGATGAATGCTTTAAAAAAGAAAAGATTGTTTTTCAGAAACCAGTAGCACTTAATGGCTTCAAAATCCCCATTGGTTGGGGCGCCTGGGTGGCTCAGTCGGTTGGGCGGCCGACTTCGGCTCAGGTCATGATCTCGCGGTCTGTGAGTTCCAGCCCCGCGTCAGGCTCTGGGCTGATGGCTCAGAGCCTGGAGCCTGCTTCCAATTCTGTGTCTCCCTCTCTCTCTGCCCCTCCCCCATTCATGCTCTGTCTCTCTCTGTCTCAAAAATGAATAAAACGTTTAAAAAAAAATTAAAAGAAAAATCCCCATTGGACCATATGGGAGTAGACAGTGCAGCCTTCCAAGTCCAGCTAATAGGAGAAAGTTTTCATAAAAATTTAAATAGGAGAAGATATTTACAACCATATACTGACAAAAGACCTGTACCTAGAATATATGAAGAACTCTCAAAACCCAACTGTGAAAGAATAATCCACTTAGGGAGCGGACAAAACAGACATTTCACTGAAGAGAATGTACAGATGGCATTTAAGCCCATGGGGGAAAATGTTCAACATCATTAGCTATTAGGTAAATGAAAATTAAAACCCCAATGAGATTTCACTACCTACATAGCACAATGGCAAAAGAAGAAAGTAGTGACAACACCAAATGCTTGCGAGAATGTAGAGAAACTAGAAACTGAGTCACTTGTTGGTGGGAATGTAAAATGGTATAATCATTCTAGAAACTAGTTTGACAATTTCCTTAAAAGTTATACATATGACTACCATATAACCCAGAAATTGCACTCCTGGATATTTGTGATGGTTAACTTTATGTGTCAGTTTGACTGGTCCATGGGATGCCCAAGTAACTGGCTAAGCATTATTTCTGAGCATGTCTCTAAGGGGGCTCCTGGAAGAGATTAGCATTCACATCAGTAGACTGAGTAAAGCAGATGGCTCTCCCCAAAGTGTCATCTTAACCATTGAGGGCCTAAAGAGAGCAAAAAGGAGGAGGAAGGAAGAATTCCATTTCCCTGACTCATTGCTTGGGCTAGGACATTGGTCTGGCCTTGGACTGAGACACCATTAGTGGTGCTCTGGTTTTCAGGCCTTCAGACTTAGACTGGAACTATACCACTAGCTTTCCTGGCTCCCCAGCTTGCAAACAACAAACCATGGGACTTTTCAGCCTCTATAATCATGTGAGATAAATCCAAGGATTGGTTTTGAGTATTAAGATATCATGGAATTTGCCTGCTAGTAGGTTTGAGATTTGCTTGGGATCTGTTACCCCTTCTTTTCTATTTCCTTTTTGGAATGGGAATGTTTGTCCAATGCCTGCCCCATCATTGTATTTTGGAAGCATATGACTGGTTTCACAGCTTCGTAGCTGGAGAGGAATTTTGCCTCAGGATGAATTGTACCTCAGATCTCATCCATATCTGATTTAAGCAGACTCCATGCATGGGGCTTGAACTCACAACCCTGAGATCTTGATCTGAGTCAGACAGTGAACTGACTGAGCCACCCAGGTGCCCCCATCCATATCTGATTTAGAGGAATTTTTTTTTAATGTTTATTTATTTTTTAGAGAGAGAGTGCAAGTGGGGGAGGGGCAGAGAGAGAGAGGGAGACAGAATCCAGAGCAGGTTTTGTGCTGACAGCAGAAAGCCCGATACAGGGTTCAAACTCACAAACTGTGGCATCATGACCTGAGCCACCCAGAAGCCCCTGATTTAGGTAACATACAGATGAGATTTTGGACTTTAGATTTTAAACTTGGTGCTGGAATGAGTTAATACTTTTGGGGTTCTTGGGATGGAGTGAATGTATTTTGCATGTCAGAAAGGCATGAATTTTGGGCAGGGGCAGGGGCAGAATGCTATAAATGTTTGTGTCTCCTCCAAATTCATATGTGAAAGCTATAACCCCCATTACGATGATATGTGGAGGTAATTAGGTTTGGATGAG